AACATTTATAAAAAAATCCGGGAAAAAAATCCTAGAGAGGAAAATAAAGGCAACTACGTAAAACAATAATATTTGTCTTTTTAGAAAGACACGTTACAAAATGTGCATTTAAAATTGAAGTAAACAGAAAAACAATGTTAAATAACAAGATGGTTAAATGATGTTTCAACTCAAAAGAAACTGATTAATTATCCCAAACGATTATAAGAAATAATTTGCGCCTCGTTTTTTTTTAACTTTAATTTGGGCGATTTCAAAAAAAATAAATTGCTTTTAAAAAATTGGTTATTTTTCTTCATTATGTTAAAAATGTTTAAGTAATTCTTCTAATTCAAATTTTACTAAAAATCTACTTTTTGAGTATTAACGGAAATGATATTAGCACCCAGTGTCGAAACATTGGTCTATAATTTGTTTGTAAATAAAAAAAATCGGTTCTGTTTGTGAATATTGTTTAGTTGAATATTTGTATTTGTTCGTCGAGAAAATAATATCGGTCAAGTGGCCGCCGCCATATATGGTTATAGTTATATATACACGAGACTTAAAATAAGGTCATAAGTCTGGAGCAGTCTGAAAATCACCAAAACAAAAAATTAAGCGACCGGGAAATATTGCGAGCAGAATGTCTATTGCTCCAGGCTTCTTTCTTTGGAAAAATTTAAAGTTTCGCCTTTATGTCAGCAAGCCCCAGACCTTAAAAGGCCTAAAAAAACAATAAAGAATAAATGGCAATTACATTGCCTGAAGTATTAAAAAAGGTGATGGAAAATGCTCTAAAGCGCTCCAAAATGTAGATCAACTCTGGGGGCGGCCAATTGGCCTTTATAATAATAATAATTTTAATTTTTCGACTCAACATAGAAAATTAAAATGTTCCAATAAACATTATTCACAAACCCAACCAATTTTTTTATTTACAAAAAACTGATAGGAAGTTTGGTGATGACTTTTCCGCCACCTTGAATAATAGGGGGAGGGTAGGCACTACAAGTAAGACTCTAGCCCTTCTTGTTCCACTTTATATTGCCATCTTTGCCTTTTAAGGTATGCAGTTTTCCCTAAAAATATTCATATCCCAATTTGGCTGACAGTTTAATATTATAAAACAATTCATGGTCATTGCTAAGCACATTTTTTAATCTCTTTTGAAGAGTCCTAAATTATAAGTATGCTTTAAATTTGCGAACTTTATAATCAAAATTGTCATTAATAATAAATACTTATCCTTATAAATATGGTATTTTATAATTTAGTCAATGAAAAAATTATTGCAGAAACGATCTCATGGAAAGACAAAATGGACATTTTTAAAGAAAAGAGCAAACTAAAAGGAAAAGACATATATATATATATATATATATATATATATATATATATATATATATATATAGATTCTGAGCTTACAATGGCCGAAAGAAAAATCCAAAAAACATTAAGAGATATAGCAAAAAAAGAAAGAAACAAAGGGGCATTCTGCAAAGTGATATACCAGAAAATATATATTAATGGTAAAGCCTTCAAGTGGAATACAGAAGATCAAAAATTAATTAAAAAAGGGAAGAAAATAAAAAAGGTCTGGAACCAGCAAAAAACTAAAGGCAATAATATATCAAAAAGAAACACAGACGATTAGGCAAATGAATAGGACTATGCAAAAAAAAGTAAACGGAACAGAAGCAACAGATGGTAATGAGGAAATAAAAATAAAAACCAATAAAAAAAAAGAATAAAAGAAAAAGAAAAGAAGTTAAGAGGTACTTGGAATATACAAACAATATTAATAACAGGAAAAATGGAGCAGATAGCGAGGGAAATGAGAAGATACGAAATCAAAATCTTGGCACTACAAGAGATTAGGTGGAAAGAAGAAGGAAGAATTGACAAAAATTAATATACATTATATTATGGAGGGGAAAAAGAACAAGGCAGAAATGGTACAGCATTTATGGTTAGTAGAGTATTAAACAAAGAGGTTATAGAGTTTAAATCATACGGAGGAAAAGTAAGCCACTTAAGAATAAAAGAGAAAAAAGCACACATAACAATAATAAATGTATATGCCTTAATTGAAGACTCTAGCGATGAAGAGAAACAAATATTTTATGAAACAATAGAAAAAGCTTATGAAAGAATACCGAAACATGACACCATCATTATATTGGGAGATTTTAATGCAAAAATAGGAAAGGAGGAATTTCTAGAGGATGTAGTGGGAAAAAATACAATACACGAAGAGTCAAATGATAATGGAATAAGACTATGTAATATCGGAGAGGAATATGTTAATTGCAAGCACAAAATTCAAGCATAAAAAAGAACATAATGTAACATGGCTACGACGGGGGATGGATACTGGAAACCAGATTGATCATATGCTGATTGCTAAAAAAAGAATAAAAATGGTAATAGATGTAAGATCATATAGAGGGGCAAATCCAGATACTGACCACATCCTATTAATAGCATCAATAAGGATAAATAAATGGACAACAGGAAAGTATGTGCGCGGTAAAAAAAAGTGGAATCTAGAAAACATAAAGGCTAAAAAAATGCAGTACTGCTCCGAGCTGAAAAAAAAATTAGAAGAACTTCAAGTCGGCATAAATATCGATAAAGAATGGGAGGAACTAGAACAGAGTATAAGAGAGTCCGCAGAGAGGACTATTGGAGTTGGAGGAAGAGCAAAACGTAATGGTTGGTTTGATATGGAATGTGAAAATGTAAAAAAAAGAAAAAGAGAAACAAGACTGGAATGGTTAAGGAAAAAAAGTCCAGAAAAGAAGGAACAAGAATTTTAAAAAATAAGAGAATGCAATGGATAGATGAAATAATGACAGAAATAGAGAACAACAGTAAAGATAGTAGGAAATTATTTGCTAGTATAAAAATAAAAGAAAAAAGTCCACAACACCAAAAATAGATAAAAAAGAATGGGAGAATCACTTTAAAAATTTGCTATCCGAAAAGAAAGAAGAAAACCATGAAATGGAAGTAAGCAGAATAGAAACAAATGAAACTAACGAACAAAGTATGAATGAAACTGAAGAAACTCCAACCTATGAAGAAGTAAAGGAAGCGATCAAAAGCTAAAAGAAAGAATATGAAATATGTGGAGAATTCATTAAAATGGGAGGAACAGACCTAATAGAACACCTACATAAACTAATAATTAACATTTGGAGAGAAGAAAGAATGCCAGAAAAATGGAGGATGAGACTTATCATTCCAATATTTAAAAAAGGAGACGCAAGACAATGCAGTAATTACCGGGGCATAACATTACTTAATACAGCATATAAAATATTGACAACAATTGAAGAGCACACAGCAAAAACGATGAAAGTCACTTTTTTCTAAAAATGAGTTAAATATACGATAAAATAGCTGAGAGTCTGTAGTATATGCTAGACCGGTTAACACAGCAAGAATGCTCTTGGTCTCGGAGTTATATCGGAAACAAAAAATGGTGTACACAGCAAAAACGATTAAAGTCACGGGCAAACATAGCAAAAACGGTTAACCAACCCCCCGCCCACCAAAACAATCCCTTGTCTATGCGGTTAACGTCAGTTTTTGACGTTCGTGTTAGTTACGCATTAGGTTATATTTATTGTTGTTGACATTGTTGTGTTTTATAAAGCAAAACAATACTTAAGCAGTGCCTATTTCGCGTTGAATCGTGTAGTTTTGTAGTGTTAAAATGAATATACAAGGACTAAATGAAGAAAATAATAGCAGTGATTCAGATACAATTGAAAAATTGAATATGGGTTCTAAGAAAAGAAAATCTTTTGGACGAGAAGTAGACGTTTTGAAAAAACTGAGGATAAGTTCCCACGAGCAGGGCGAAGACTGTAAATGCAGAAGGTATAAATGTTTTGAGATATTAGATTTGCTTGAACGTAAACGAATTATAAAGGACTTCAATGAAATATTTTCCAAAGATGAGCAAAGTTCGTATTTAACAGGATTAATAAACGTTTTACCAATTAAACAACGTCGCCCAAGACAAAATGAGGAATTAGCCAAATTTCATGATAGGGCATATTCTTATAAAGTAAGAACTATGAAGGAGAATAATATTATTGAAGTTCCGGTCTGTCGAAAGGCATTCCTGTCCTTGCATGGAATTTCTGGAAACAATTCAGCAGTCCTTAAAAAAATGTGGCAAGTCGCCAAAAGATATGAGGGGAAAGTACTCACACACCCATTGCACCAAACCTCCTGCTACGTTGGAGGCTGTAAAAAATCACATAGGTTCTTTTAAAGGCAGACAAAGTCATTATAGCCGTTAAAAGTCTACTGTGGTTTATCTACCGGAGAGCCTTAATCTAAAGAAGATGTACAAGATGTACACAGATTTAGATCTTGGATCTGTGTCGTACGAATATTACCGCAAGATATTTAATAACAATTTTAATATTAAATTCGGTTACCCTCGAAGCGACACATGCAGTTCGTGTGACAAATTTACCGCAGAGAAATTGAGCTTAGAGAGAAAACTTGAAAATACACTAACGGCAGAAGGAAATTCAGAATGAGTTACACCTAAAGAAGGCTGATGTTTTTTATGCCAGGAAGAGAGCAGCAAAAAAAAGAAGCATAAAAGTTATGGACTACGAAAGCATTGCTATGGATTTCCAAAAGAATTTGCCACTACCGAATATTTCCACTAATGATGTATATTATAAACGTCAGCTTTCTTTTTATTCATTTAATATCCATGTTCTTTCTACAGCCGATTCATACTTCTATTGCTACTCGGAAAATGTTGCTGCTAAAGGGTACGAGGAAGTGATTTCTATGCTTCACCATTTTATATTTACTCAGTTAGATAAAAGATTAAAACAGCTCGAAATATTTTGCGATTCATGTGGTGGGCAAAACAAAAATTATAATATTTTTCGATATATCCATTACGTTGTTGTAACTACTAGAAGACTTGACATGATCAAAATTACCTTTCCAATGAGGGGACATTCTTATGCGATAAGAATATGGGAATTATCAACCAGAATACTAAAGCTGAGACTATTGCTGACTGGATTAATGAAATAAGAGGAGCAAGAGCTAATCCAGCTCCATTTAAAGTTTTTGATCTAGAACAAAGCTTTTTTCGTCAATGGAATAAATATTTAGCCCCATATTATGTAGTAAAATGCCCATTTGCAATACAGCCACTTCGGGAAATCCAAGCAGAATACGAACATCCCAAATATATGACATATCGTTCAAGCTATAATGGGGCCTTCGAGACTGCAATAGTTCGTACTGCTTCCATCAACCAAACGGAAATGATAGGACCTGAAAAATTTTTTCTTCCAGATAAAAAGTATACAGGTAATGATTAACTAAACTGTATTAAGATAGTTTAGTTAATCATATGAATCAATGTTTCTCTTTTTAAGAACCCATAAAAATCAGTTTGGAAAAATGGGAAAACTTACAGCAACTAAAAACGTTTTGTGAAACTGATGGTGCTTCAGAATTTTATGGTAATCTACCCTACAAATTAACCAGAAAAGCGAAGAAAAAGACAAAAGATGTGTTGCATACACTCATAGAGACCGACTCTGAGAAAGATGAAGAAGAAGAGCAAGAACAAAATAGGTACTCAAAGACGAAGAAAACTGCAGTAATAAAAAAAAAGAAACTGTTAGCAAGCGTGTGTCGTACCTAGGCTGGTTATGGCCTTAAGTACTCCACCAAGGTTCCTCTCCGGTTGACTCTCCAGATATAGAGGAATACCTACCTCGGGTTGCTTTTATTCAGTGGAGAAAGTAGGGTTTATAAGAATCAGTTAGGGTTGGTGGTTTAATTTAAAATGCAAAAAGTAACTTAAACTGGTTTATTTACCAAGATAAAAGTATGTACAAAATTATATTAAAAGGATATATACAGTATTTACAAAAGTATCGTAGACTTTGCACATAAAGGTTCTTTCACAGCCTTTAATCAGGACAGGCAAATGTTCCAGGGCTTTTCACAGGCAACTGGCAGGCACGGGCGTAGTTTTCAGTCCTACAGAGAGACAGGGCAGATTTGCAATTGGACTCTAGTGGAAAAATACATGTTGTTAGGTTATGTTATATGCATACAGGATTTACAGTTTCATTAACTCTGTTATTAAAGCTTAATATTATACGGCTTTAAGCCCTTTGATATTAAAAACAGGTTAACTTACTGTTAATATTCCACTGAGAGTTCTCTGTGATTAAGTGGTTGGTTTTGGGCTCACAATTGATAACACCATTTGGAACTGAGCCACCAGACGACTGATTGTCCATTGAAAAATGCAGCGGTTTTATAGACGAAATTCTGATGACAGACTTGATGAAAAACAATTGGGGCCGCGTGCAATAAATCCTTTACACGGGCCGTGTGCAACAATTGTTGACAAAATATAGGCGGTTGACAGTTGTCCAAGCGCCATCTGTTAGAGTTTCGTCTAACTGCAGGTTTCTGGTAGTCCAACTCTTTCCTTGACGTCGGGTAGTTAGGAAATCGTCTTATAGATGTCGTAATGTGTATCATTACATCCCCCCCTTACTAAAATCTTGTTTTCAGTTTTCTGAAAACAGAACTGGAAATGATTTCTGGAAACTTTCAAAACAAATAAAACTTTTTAAAATCGGAAACTAAAGAAAATTATTCGAAAAAACTAAAAAAGAATTTTAAGAAAACTAAAAAATTATGGTTTGGCTCGGCTCCGGGTTACTGGTCCTCTATAAAAATTGACGACTTGCCTCGGGGAATTTTCACCCAGAGCCTTCTTCCGCTCTTCAGCCAGAGCCTTCGGCGAACTGCTGCGTCTGGGTGGTCGGACGGCAGCCGGTGGATCTCCCTGAGGTTGGTCGTCAGGGGCATCGGGTCTGCAGGGATGCTTCGCCGAGGAGGTGGCTGGGTGGGTGGCGGCATGGTCGTCGGCAGCCGGCGTGGAGGGAGCGGGACGATCGGCTCCGGGGTTGGGGGACGCCAGATGTTCTGGGCTGTCGAGAGCCTGGTGATGCCCTGGGCTGGTGCTGGGTTTTCCAGCAGGGGCATATTGAGCCAGGTCAGGCCCTCGATTCCTAGACGCCTGGGGATGGGCACCCCGGCGCTCGGACTCTTGGGGGAGACTGGCATCTTGGCCAGGATGGGCGTAAGGCCCTTCCCCGGCGTGATGGCCCTGGGTGGCGTCACCACGGCTGGCGGTGGTGTGTTCCACATGATGCTGTCCGGGAGGGGAGAGGTATTCAGGTCCAGGACCGGGGAGTCTCCGAAGAGATCCTGGATTATCTGGCGCTGGGGGGTGTTCATGTTCTGCAATAAAAGGTTTTAGATCTTTAATATGTATATTCCTCACCCATTTTCCTTCAGGAGAACGCAGATCATACACAACTGGGGACAGAATTTTTTTTACAACGAAAGGCCCGGCATATTTTGGGGCAAGTTTTGCATTAAACTTCTTAGCGGCAGAGGACAGGTGGTGTTCTTTTTTAAGGACTTTCTCTCCTAATTTGCATCTCCATTCTCTGTGCCGTAAATTATACTGGGTGCTTTGGTTGGTAAAGGCCCGTTCCATATTTAATTTTACCAACTCAAAAGTTTCATGGAGTTTTTTAAGGCGTTCCGTGTGCTTCGGGGTTTCTGGTACCCCGGCAAGGTCTTCAGGCAGATTTTTATAGGTGGTTAGACTGTTGGGTGTTTCTAACTCTCGTCCAAAGTTTAGGAATGCTGGTGTAAATCCGGTTGAATCATGTACCGCTGAGTTAATAGCTATCCTAAATTCCGGTAGCCAACTGTCCCATTTGGTTTGATCCGCTTCACAGTATTGTGCCACCATAGTCTTGATGACTTTGTTGGCCCGTTCTACAGGATTGCATTGAGGCGTGTATGGGGGTGTAAAGCGGTGTTGTATCCCCATGTCGGACAATAACTTCTGGAAAATCCGATTGTCGAATTGAACACCATTGTCGGAGATGATGATGCGGGGGCATCCAAAACGACAAATCACCAGGTCTTGGAGGGTTTCGGTGACAGTCTTGGCAGTAGCTCGACGTAGTGGCTTAAACTCTACCCATTTAGTAAATTTATCTTGAATCACCAGCAAGAATATATTTCCTTTGGAAGAACGGGGTAATGGGCCCACTAAGTCGATGCTTATGACATCCCAAGGGCGGTCCACCGGAAATGGTCGTAATTTTCCTGGGGGTTGTTGTTGGGAAGTCTTATACCGTTGGCAATTTTCGCACTGTCTGACATATTTAGCGACTTCTCTAAACATGCCTGGCCAATAATATTTCCGGGCAATTCTACGAATTGTCTTGGCTATGCCCAAATGTCCGGCGTGTGGCTCGTCATGGTTTTCCCGGAGAATTACAGATCTTTGTGGCTTTGGGATGCATATTTTCCATGGATCTGTAGATTCATTTTCTTTAAAATCGGAGAAATCGTAAAAATGTCTTAACAATTTACCCTCGTATATTTTAAATTCTGGGAAGCTTCTTGGATTTTTCAGGACTTCTTGGAATTTATGCTGATACCAAGAGCATGTTTTGTTGTCAATTACAACAAATATCGGTGTGTTGGTTACTGGCTTATCTGGTAGCGGCTCTCTTGATAACAGATCAGGCAGCTGGTTTTGGCTTCCCTTGCGGTAAACAATTTCATAATCGAATTGTTGTAAAAATAAGGCCCATCTAGCGAGTCTTCCAGAGGGATTTTTTAGAGAATTTAGCCATTTTAATGCTTGGTGATCAGTGACTATCTCAAAGTGATAACCCTCTAAATAGGGCCTCATTTTCTGTACAGCCCATATAATTGCTAAACATTCCTTCTCCGTTGTGCTAAATTTCGCTTCGTTCGGGTTCAATGACCTGCTTGCGTAGGCGACGACGTGTTCTGTGTCATTTACCCTTTGAATTAGCGCTGCCCCCACTCCTAGGTCAGAGGCATCAGTTTGTAGACTGAACGGGTGATTAAAATCTGGGCAGGCTAATATCGGTGATTTTGTGAGAGCTGTCTTAAGAGCGGCAAATGCGACATCCTGTTCGGTGCCCCAGGCCCATTTGACATCTTTCTTTATGAGTTGTCTAAGTGGGGCCGAAATTTGTGCGAAATTTGGTACAAATCGTCGGTACCAGGATGCTGCTCCTAAAAATCGGCGTATTGCTTTGACATTTGTTGGGGTTGAAATTTCCTGGATGGCCTGGACCTTGTCAGGTGACGTAGTGATACCTTCAGCTGTCACAATATGTCCTAAGTATTGCAAAGACTTCTTGCAAAAATGACATTTTTCTTGATTTAACTGAAGGTTAGCTTCACGTAGTCGCTGGAAAACCATTTTCAAATTTTCCAGGTGTTCATCCAGGGATTTTCCCAACACAATAATGTCGTCAAGATACGCAAATGCTCTGGGCTCCAACTCTGGTGTTATAATTTGGTCTAACAGCCTTTGGAAAGTAGCTGGCGCCGAATGTAATCCAAAAGGCATAACCCTGAACTGGAACAGTCCTTTTCCGGGAACCGAAAAGGCTGTAATGGGTTTGCTTTCTGTAGTTAACGGTATTTGCCAGTATCCCTGCCGCAAATCCAAGGTGGAAATGTATTTCGCTTCTCTTAGTTTGTCCAATATTGCATTGACTTGTGGCAACGGGTAAGAATCCTTGATCGACACGTCGTTTACTTTTCGAAAATCGATGCAGAATCGCGGCTCTCCATTAGCTTTCTTGACTATCACCGTAGGTGAACTCCAAGGACTATGGGAGGGTTCGATTATTTTTTCTGACAACATTCTATCAACTTCGTCGTACATAATTTTCATTATGGCCGGATTCTGTGGCCGGAACCTTTGTTTAATGGGCCTGGTATTCTCCTGGAGACGAATCTCATGTTGAGTCATCCGGGTAACGCCCTTAATTTTGTCAAAGGTTTTTAACTCAGTGTATAAAAAGTCAGCCACTTTCTGTTGTTCTTCGGGTAGCAGGTTTGTCAAGGACAACAGGGCCGGACTTTTTAATTTTTCAGGTTTTTGGGTGGCTTGTTTCAATATCCTGTGTTTAGATATAAAGTCCATCCCCAAAATGATATTTTCCACCAAATTGGGTAAAAAATAAAACTGGTGCTGAGTATATTTCTGGTAAAATTGACAACCAATGGTGTAGGCCCTAGTAACTGGTTGTAGGGACCCATCAGCCAATTGTACCTGGCTAGTACATTGTTGTCCTGGGTGGTTTGGTAGATTTTCTACCACGGATTTTCCGATGTAAGAATATATAGCTCCGGTATCCAAAAGGGCATTCCATTCCATTCCTTTAACTTTTAGTTTAAGGAACATCCTGGGGTCGTTTGCCACATTTGCGGGTTGATTGGCTACAAAATTTGGATTCATCGTCGGGATTTTTGCTTCACCCTGTATATTTTGACCCAAATACGGTCCTGGTGAAGCCAGAAGGGGCGGGAATTTAGACGGCTTCAGTTCCTGTTCCCTCTGGAGTTTTCCGGACGTGGGCAT